GAGTATTAGGGCCAGACTAAGAGTTCTAGACTATTACGACTTTATTCTCGTAATGTTACGACTTTATTCTTTTTTTTTTTTAGTATTAATACTCCGTCGTAGTATTATGCACTACAGAAGCGTATTGCATTTACTATGCTCTCTAAACTCAGAAAAAAAACTCAGAAAAACAAACCAAAAAATGAATAACTCAGAAAAACACAAATAATTACCTTGAAAAACAAACCAAAAAAATTAATTTTTAAGTGAATGCAATACGCTTCCGTAATGCACCGCAGAAGAACAATATAAACGAATAAGGACCAGAATAAGGCTGTGTAGTCCCCCAACAGTGTTTCATTATTATAATAGAGGGTTCTGTGCACACATGGAAAATTAATTGTTTTTTCTCCTCAGGTCAAAGAAACTCATTCATAAAGTTTACTATTTTGCAGAATTTCTTAGAAAAACAAAAAGGTTTAAATGTAGCCTTGTACCTTTTTGTAATATGCACATGTTTTTCTCATGTCCTGTATCCCAAATATTTTAGTCAGATATAAAGAATTAGATATAATTTAAGGTTAACGACTTTTGCCCTTTCTCATATTTTCTTCTATACAGACAATTTAAATTAATCTATTTCTGTAATAATTAATATTAATATCCACGGGTAAATATCATATCCACTGCAGCAAATGGAGGAATAGCAAGCACTATTTTATGTTTGTATGTTTGTTCTCGTCTCAGAAAAAAAAAATGCAGCAAAATAGCAGTAAAGATTTGTGGGGACATTTCACACTTAAACTTTAAATGTATACCCCTTTTTGGACATTTCTGCCCTCTTTCTTAAATGTTATATAAAGATCTACTGTTTATATATATTTTTTATTTCAACAGAATAAATCCCCCATTTCTTTTCATGTTTATTTCACATAGCCTGTGTGTTAATATAAAATAAAATCTTACAGCGTTAATTATTCAGTTGATATTTTTGCTTACACTGAATAATAAGTGCATGCAATCAAATTATCACAAAAACTTGTGAACAAGGCGTTGGGGTTGCAAAAAAACACTCTGCCAGGAGTGTGTTTTAATTATAAACGAGTCACGTAGTAACGCTAATTATGCCGGATCGTAAACTTTCTTGAGATTTTAAAGTAAAAACAGCCTCTGAGTGAATGTGACTGCGCTGCCATTTACCAACAGGTGGCGACAAACTACTAAGAGTCTTTGTGGAGGACTGTTAATACTGGGTGCTTCACATTTTAAAAAAAAATAAATGAAGAGTTTCCCATAATTTAATATTATTTATCTGCCAAGTAAATGCTGTCTACACGCAACTGTACTTCATTGTAAATCTAGTTTACATGTCTGTGTAGCCTGTAAATACAATATATTGTTAATCAGGGGAGAACAATGTCTTAAAGAAAAAAAGAAACGCATAACAACTTGTGGGAATAATTGCGATGGAGGGTAAATTGAGGCCAGAGCCGACTTTCTTTTGTTCAATAAACTACCAAAATAACTTTTACACACTTTCTGAAATAAAAATAAATAAATAAAACGATTTCTCAGCACTTTTGTGACTCATCTCAGTTCTCAGTCATTTGTGTAAAGAACCACGTTTAACTTTTTTAAAGGCTCGGGGTGTGACTCGTGGTCTCTCAGCCTCATACGGTCATTTTCTGGATATTACAGCAGAGAAAAGGGGCGGAGAGCTGAAGATCCTCAGTATTTCCTCCAGAGCGCCGAGCACACAATGACACAGTGCGCCCGGTAGAGCAACATGCCAAAAGCTGGATATTTTATATGGATTTTATTCTCCTCATGGGGTACGACTTTTTCTTTCTTTCTTTCTTTCTTTCTTTCTTTTTTCTTTCTTTTTTCTTTCTTTCTCTCTTTCTTTCTTATTGTCTCATACCATGTCCCTTACACTTACAGGAGTAATTGCCGGCAGTGTGAGGACCCTACCTCATGTGATGAAGTACCAAACAGTGATACCTCAGAAACTGAAGGATTCATCTCTCAATAATGATGCTGCTACACATCAGGTAGGCCTAACACACACTCTACTGTATTATTTTATCAGTTTATTTAAAAAAAGGAGGGTGTTTAACTTTTTAAAGCATGCATTAAAGTCTTTTCTACTGTGTGTGTGTGTGTGTGTGTGTAGAGATACCCTGATGTACTCCAGTACTCTCTGACGATTGAAGGGCAAAACCACACACTGCACCTGGAAAAGAACAAGTGAGATGTTTTTTTATGCTATGTTTTTATTTTACTGTGCATCTTTATATATTACACTGTGCTTTCTTTCTTAATTTGTCAATATTATTCACATAAAAATACTCTCTTCTTTTCAGAAATCTGGTTGGGAAAAGCTTTTCTGTGACACACTATTCTGATCAGGGCACCCAAGTCACAACAACTCCAGATCTTAGGGTATGTAGCTTTGCATTCTTTCACCACCATTTCTCTAACATGAACATAATCCCTGTATTTGTGATCAGCTCGCGTTATCATATTCACTTATATTCTTTTTTAGTGTAGCATACTTGATTTTCAGACTCAAGTTTTACTTCCTTGATTCGATTTGAATCACTGAATAAAGTGCAGATGTGAGCAACTCACAGGTGTCAAACCAGGCTAATATATATTTCCCAAGAACTATTTTATTACACAGGCTACAGTGAATCAAGTACAGGATTTCCTGCGCCACCTACACCCACCCAGTTTCAGTGGTTTTGGTGCATTTGCTTGCTGGGTCTTACATCAAAGTCACAACTCTGCACTGTAAAATATAATACATCCATATCTATCCATATCCATATCTGATCTTGAACATTATTCTATTGATAAGAGAATAGCAATATGGTTACAGCTTTTCCAACACACATACAACAAGTTTTATATTCTTACCAGTCCTGTTTTTACGTCTATACAACACAAATAACAAAACACACAAAAGTAATAGTTCACATTTAATTAATTCCTATGGATATCAGTCATCTTCATCATTGGCAACTTCAAAATTCCTGTTACGGACATTTTATGCAATCCCTGCCAGTATTTTCCTGTTATTCGTAATATCAGTTTCTCAACTGCAAAGTTCCTCTTTATGAGAGGTGACATTTCACATTGCCACTATTGAGTAATGTGAAGAGGAATTGACATATATGGTTAATATTGCAGTTAATTTATCTGACCATGTCACACACAGTACAATATATCGTCTTCAAATTAGACCACAGTCTTCCACTGTGCTTGAGAAAAACAGTGTGAATTGAAATCTCTCCTTTGATTCTGTGACAAATAATGAATGTCTGTTCAGATTCACTGCTACTACCATGGACACATTGTGGGAGTGGAGGAATCCTCTGCCAGCGTGGGACTGTGTTCAGGAATCAAGTGAGTAATGCTGGATGTACTTTTTTTTTTTCATCCTGTATCTCTAATTACAAAAAGATTATTGTTTTCCTAAGTAGAGAGACAAATGTAATCAAAACCCATGTTGATGTGGGTCTGTGCGTCCAATCCAATGAGAGGATCAGTCCCTCTGCATCCATTTCCTCTATCATGAAGACCATTAAGATGTAGCTTTGTGTCTGTGAAAACCTGTAACCCAATTAAACAAGGGCCATGCAAACTTCCGTGGAAACTTGGAAGCATGATAAACAAAAGACAAGTCTTGTAATGAGTAAATTTGAGATCTAGCCACACTGAAGTTCCTGTTTTGCACTACAGGGGGTTTGTGCGTCTCCAGGACCAAATGTACCTTATCGAACCTCTGGCCGGCGACGAGGCTGGGCAACGCGATGAAAGACAGAGCTCTGACGTTAACAGTGACGAGGGTCTTCATGCTGTTTACAACTACAAACACCTGAGGAGGAAGAGGAGCTCCTGTTCCCATGGAAACACGACCACTTTCTATGATCATGTAGCTCAACCGTCTGGACTGTTCAAGCTCAGCAGTCTGGTAAAGACACACAGCGTGGACACATACAGATATACACCAGGGTTGGAATCCTACAGCTGATGTCTGAGAGCCAGCATTAACTATAGCTTTAGTAACTACAGTAAAACTGTGTAAAAAATATCACAATATAAAGTTCAAATTATGTAATCTGCATCAAATTTATGACAAAAAACAAACATGTTCCAAACACAGTTAAATTTTTTGAAAATTTAAATGTTTTCTGCAGTTTTGTGCTTCACATTGTCATACAGTTCAGTGTAAGAAATGAAACTAAAACAAAGGAAATTAACAAAAGGGATCGCACAAAAAAACAGACACTAAGTAGAGGAAGAGAGAGATAATAGATCTTAAGATTTGCAAAGTAGTACAGGATGTGAGAGTTAGCTTCAATGTCCATCTTTATGCATATTTTAATAGATAAAGTCATCAAACATGAACATTAAAACACAGTCATTTATTGGGCTATATTAAATATCCTTAAAGCAAAGTTTTATTTTTCTGGTTCCACTATGTTTTATGTGTCTTATTTGTTTATTTTACTTCTTACTTTATTGTATTTTGGGTATTTTATTCACTTGTTATACTCACTGTACCTTTATGTGCTGGATTATATTTAATGGTGGTTGGGATTTGTTTTAATTTCTGTTAAACACACTTTAATATTGTTGATATCTTCTATGTTTTGTGTTATTCAGAAAAGCAGAGCACAGACCAAAGACCGTGCAAGAAAACCTAGAACAGTGGAGCTGGTTGTGGTGGTCGATAACACAGAGGTTTGAATTTTTTTCTCTCTGACTGAGTCTGTTATCTCAGATGTAGCCTATTAATGATAACAATCTTATGAGTGATACACTTTCCCCCGAAGAAGTAGATTATGTTTTGTATCTGAGATGCTGTTACTAACTTAATAATAATATAACAATAACTTTTTCTTCTCATTTCTTTTTAGTATAAGAAGTTTGGCAATAAGAAGACAATAGAGGCCAGAGTGCTTGAAATAGCAAACCACGTCGACAAGGTATGTTTGTTTCTCTGTAATCTATCAGTTAAAGTGATTCAACCTTGTCATGGAGAAATAAAAATCCACTAATCTTGGCAAAAAAAAGTAGCAAAGAATTTAAAATAAGGACATTATAATGTTCAAATGAGTATAAATGCTCAATTTTGTGTCATTTTATGCCATTTCCATTCTGAACTAATTAACTATTCCATCTATTTTTACTGGTAATTTAGTGCATTTTCATTGGCGGCAGATAAGGCTCGCATTTTTCTCACAATGCAGCACAGCCACGTGTAAGAAATCTGTCCTGATACTATTTGTTCTTTACTGACTGGAATCTGACCAATAAGAAGTTCTCTTTCTGTGAAAATCTAACTTTATCTGTGAATTTTCACACCTAAACTGAAAATTTTCACACATATCACACAATCCTCTTTGCATAGTCTGAAAGAGTAGTGCCAACCTGAATGTACCATCAGACAGCACTAAACAGTGGTTTCCTGTTAAAGCATTAGAGATAAGGCGACTGTTTCTCTAATTTGCAGCATTATTTGTTGGACTCACTCACATTAAGAAATACTGATTTGAACAATTTACCTGACAATTCATTCAGTTTTAGGGGAATTTTCTGTGCTAACATGTTTCACTGTTTCAGCTGTATCGCCCCGTGGGTGTGCGTGTGATGTTAGTCGGTCTGGATCTCTGGTCGTACAAAGATCAGATAGAGGTCAGCACTGACCCTGAGGTCACCCTCCACCGATTCCTCCAGTGGCGTCAGCAGAGCCTGTTGCCGAGGATTAAACATGACAACGCGCAGTTCATCACGTAAGACACGCTAAAAAGATGGTAAGATAATGCGTTAGGCTGTTAGAACTGGTGTCTAAACATCGTTCCTCTTCTTCGTTCAGTGGCGTGGATTTTGATGGTTCTACCGTTGGCTTAGCTAACACCAATGCAATGTGCACCTCTAAGTCTGGAGCTGTCAATGAGGTAAATATAGGTTTTTGTTTAAAAAATGTAAAATGAATGGGATTTGAGTGATGTTAATGTCAGTTTGACTCAACTCCACTTCTGTCTACTATACACACACAGGACCATAACACTAACGCAATAGGAGTGGCCTCTACTATTGCACATGAGATGGGTCACAACCTGGGCTTGTCCCATGATACTGAAAACTGTGTCTGTGGCTCCATAACAACGAAAAGAGGCTGCATCATGTCTGAGAGTGTTGGGTAAGCTTAGTTTCTCACCTGCACATAACCTCCCCCAAATCTACAGTCCTTAAACCCAAAGTTATAGCAAATATTTTCCTTTCTATCTTTTCTTTTAGCATGGTGTATCCAGAGTGGTTCAGCAGCTGCAGTAAGCAGCAGCTCAGCAGCTTCTTGGAGGAGGTCAACCCTGCCTGTCTGGTGGATACTCCTTCTACCGATCGAGTCTACGGAGGGCCAGTGTGTGGAAATGCCTTCCTGGAACCTGGAGAGGAGTGCGACTGCGGCACTGTAGAGGTTTGTGCATGCCGTGCTCACACAGGGTGCACACATGTAACTAAAGCACACAAAGGAGACTGGTTTGTAATATTCTTCACCCCTCTATGTCTCTCTCATAGGAATGCAGGAATCCCTGCTGCAATGCCACTACCTGCAAACTTAATGCAGGTGCCCAGTGTGCAGAGGGAGAGTGCTGCCACAACTGCCAAGTAAGTAATACTCTACTCTAGATGCATTTAGTCACACTGATGCTAACTGTGTTACCATACAGCTAGACACTGTCTGACTGTGCCGTCTGGCCGGTTATGTGCGAGTGTACGTATTTCAGTAGTCGGTACATCACCATCTGTGCCTCTATCTGCTCTGCAGCTGAAACCGGCACAAAGTGTCTGCCGACCAAAGGCAGGAGATTGTGACCTGGCAGAATACTGCACTGGCTTCTCCGCCTCCTGTCCAACTAACGCCTACACCCAAAATGGCCTGTCTTGCAACAATGGAAAAGGATACTGCTACAATGGACAGTGCCCTTCACGGCAGGAACACTGCAAGAGACTTTGGGGACCAGGTAAAACACCTGTGATTTACAGTTTGGTTAAGATGTGCTTTGATTCTGATACATCAGTTCTTACATCTGCAGCCATGGTGTTTGTTATGACTCTGTTTAGATGCCGAAGTAGCTGCAGATCTTTGTTTCACCCAGCATGGAAACTGCAGAAAGACACTGTTTAGCAAGAGATGTTTGAGCCGGTATGTATTTAAAAGCCAAAACAGCACTATAATATCAACAGTGTGGTGTTGTTGGTCTTTGTGATCATTGCTTTGTGCTTTTTGGTTACAGAGATCAATACTGTGGGACACTTTTCTGCTCTGGAGGCTGGGAATTTCCAGTGACATCTAGGAAGTCCTTTTACATAGTCAGAAATGGAGACATATGCAATGAGGCAACTATGAACCCTGAAGATAACTACCCTGCAGATCTGGGGATGGTGCCTACTGGCACTAAGTGTGACAACAACATGGTAAGATAACTACACAGTTAGCATCAATAAAACCTCCAAATCTGTGAAATGTGTCAATGTCCTCACAGTGTCTTTATCTGACTTTCAGGTATGCTACAATCAACGGTGCGAAGACATCAAAAACTTAAAAGTGTACGGAACAAACAGCTGCTCTGCCAAATGTAACAACCACGGGGTAAGACATCTGTTAAACTCACTTTGAAACACTTGGAGCGCTGTAGAGCTGCGACAACATGACTGACTGTGAGTTTGATTTCTGGCAGGTTTGTAACCATGAGAACAAGTGTCACTGCGACCCCGGCTGGGCCCCGCCTTTCTGTGATGTGCTGCTGTCAGAGCAGCCTAAAGGTACGTGTTGTGCTTGTCTGTCCACACACTGATAGTCAGAATCTGAATATCTGCCTCTTTGTATGCCTGACCTTTTTAACGACTATGATTTACACGTGGCTGTTTTTGTATCTTCCACTGTTTTTCACCAAGATTTAATACTTGAAATAGATTTCACCAGGACACTCAAACAATTGTGCTTTGTTCCACTGAGCACAAACAGACACTCATATAATGGAATTCCCCCATTAGTCCGTACAAATGCAGTAATGACGTTACAGTACATCTTGTTTCCTGAGCGGCTGACGTATGCCGTTACATGCTCATCCTTGAGCCATAAAAGAATATTGTCACAATGAATGTGTGTTTGTGTGTGTACAGAGGGAGATCTGTTGGTGTATATTGTGTCACTGGTGGTTGGCTTGCTTCTGCTGTTGGTCCTGGTCATTGGGAGTTTGATGTGCTGCATCAGAAAAAAGCGGCCTGCAAAGAGGTACAGAAAGAAGTTAATTCTTTCTTTCAGTCTCACTATGTACATTAAAATCATATCATATCAATCTTTTAATCATAACTTCTGTGTGTATTTCTTTACAGATGCCTCCAATCTACCTCAGGACAGTCCAACCCGTTGTTTCGGTCAAGCAGTACGCGAGGCAGCCCTCATGTCGGGTCCAGACAAATCAGCAAGCCTATATTTGTGGAGTCTTCAGCCACTCAAGCCTGTAAACCTCTGTCCTCTGCTCCTGCCAGACCACATACTGGAGCAGTGAAGCCCAGTAGAGCAGCTCCAGAGGTGAGATTCAGCATAATGTAGTGATACCATGAGAACTAACACTGTATGTGTTAGCTTTTTCATATTTTTGTCTCCATTAGACATGTTATTTCTATTTGTGGCATTGGAGTTTGGATCTGTAACCATGTAATTATGGTGATTAGTTAGCTAAAGCTACAGAAACAGCGAATATATGCCTGCTGACGTGTCCCTGAGCCACACACTGACTGCAAATATGCTTGAGGGATGCTATTTAAAGATCATAAACAGGGAATTATTGTAGTTCAGCTGCAAAACCAGTAAAGATTTTGGTTAAAAAAAACTAATACTAACTTTTTCTTTCACTCATTTCTGTCCCTACAGCCACCGAAGAAATTCACAGCGGTACCTCAGCCATCAAAGATTCAACAGGTAATCTCATCTGCTGCTTCATTTAAGTGTAGCATCATTTATTGGTAAAATTTTAGTCCTTTTTTTAGTTTCTAGTGTATTTTAATCAGTAAATAAATGTTTTTTTTAGATTGCAAGGCAGTTTATGCAGCCATCAACTGTTCCAAGCAGGCCAATCTATACTGAGGTAAACATACAGAATTCTAATTTTCTTTTTAAGGACATGAATTAGTTACTTTGGTATAAGTGTTGTTATTGTATGTAATTTTTGTGGTCTCTTTTTTTGACAGGATAAGCCACTACCTCCTTCCAGACCTCTGCCACCACTTGCAAATAAACCGGTAAGTGACATTACAGGAGGTCACTTTAAACTAAGAATTTGCATTTGTTCGCATTCACACGTTTAACTGTTCTTCCCACTGGTTTGAAATGTGAACGTCTGCTCTCTCAGATCATGAAGCCAAAGCCTCCGATGCCTCCGGTGAAGCCGAAGCCCTCCGCAGCCCGGTCCCCATTGCCACACACTCAGCTGGTATGTATTCAGACGGTAGCCAAAGTCAACCAGACTTTCCCTAAATCCCCCAAATCCTGGCAGTTGGCATTCAAGCACTCCTAAAGCTATTCAAGGCATTTGCATTTATAAAGACGTCTGTGGTTTTGGACATTGTCCCAACGTAGCAGTGTAATGAGCAAGCAGTGGCTCAGTGTTAGAGAGTCAGTAAGCACATAAACTTCTCCGGGGGCCACCGCTGGATAACTAATAGACAGATAACACAAGCGTTTGGAGAAAGACTGTCCTGAGAGAAGCTCATCAGCAGCTGTTTATTAACAGTACTTGTTTTTCTAGCTTGCAGGGAGAGCCGCCCTGATGCCACCCAGCAGGCCCAGATGACAGAGGGAATAATTCAGCCTGGTGTAAACACTGAGATCCTCTGACAGAGGAGACTGTTGTCGTCCCACCTTGAAGGACTTAGAAATCCTCTCAGGAGACGCTCGTCTGTTTTTCAAGCGGAAACAAGATCCACCGAAGGATCAGCAACAATAAGTGACAGAGCTTTTCTGTCAATTGTGGTCTCCCTGAAGATTACCGCCGTCTGTGTCTTGCTTATGTAAGCCTTCAGTATGTTGATGAAAACCTGATTGACAGACTCAGCGTCTGTGCTTTATAAATGACAAATGGCTATGCTGCCATGATGATGATGATGATTTTTGCTTTTTATTAAGGGAAATGTCTCTCTGCCTTGATCCTTGAATATGTGAAGACTGTATGAGGCAATTGCACTATCAATGCTGAAACAGTTTTATCAACTGTTACTGTTCCCTCACATGGTTTTGGTACTCCTTTTCTAAAAAAAGAAATAAAATAATGTTGTTAAGGGATTTTAAAATGTGCGCACTTTACAGATTTTTTTAAATTAAGAACATAAAAACAATAGTTATGACTTTTTCTTGAACTTTGTACTAACTTAGAGACGCTCGACTGTGTCAGACTGAATATTACATGCATTGCATACATGTTTTGTTTCGTGTTTACTTGATACATGTTGATTGTACTTCTTCAAGGGATTTTATATGGCCTATTCTATGCAGCAGACACACAGTCCTTCCCTCATAATGCCAATGATTGTCCTGCACTTTGAACTGAAAATGCATTATGTTTTCCTATTTATTGAGATTGTCTTTTTGTCTGTAAAAAAAATAAATAAAAAAATAAAAAAAACGAAGCTTACAATAAAAGTTGAATCAATTAAATCATGTGTCTGTCCATGTTTAACATGACATAAACCGTGTTGCCATAGTTAATTAGCGGTCGCCTAGCAACGCCTTAAAACAACCCGTTGCCAAGGGGAAGCTAACAAGGGGGCTAGCTCGGTGAAACAGTTTGGACCTTTTAGAAAGTGTCCAGAAAAGGAAAAAAAACAAAACAAACAACAGATGTTGCTTTAAGAATAATGGACCGAGAGCTGAACGAAGAGGAACTGCAGGATTTGTACGCATGGATAGACAAAATACCTCTGTCCCGGCCCAAAAGACACATCACAAGAGACTTCAGCGATGGAGGTAGTAGCCTCCTTTTTTTAATGCAATCCACAGTAATATGACCTCCTTTGGCGCACATATTTTGTTTGTTTGTTTGTTTGTTTGTTTACTCGTGAACTGACTCTGCCTCTCTTGCTGGAAACCCGTGCAGTGATGGCTGCAGAGGTGGTAAAACATTTCTTCCCAAAGCTTGTTGACCTGCACAACTACATCCCTGCACACTCCACACAGCAGAAGCTCAGTAACTGGGACCTTCTCAACAGGCAAGAAACCAGTCACTTTATATCCCTCTGTTTATTCAGACTGCATGAAGGGCTACTGAATGAATGTAGGACACAATGCCACTGCAAGCTGGAAAGATTCAACTTCTCACAGTCCAGCTTTAATAAATATCTCCCCACATCATCCTTACACAAACACAAACACAAAATGTCACAATCCACAATTAATATCTCTTAATCCAAGTTTTTTTTCTTGTTTGTTTGTTTTTTTTTTGCTGCAAAGCATTTGTTGAGTCCTGCCATGGGCCTCTGAGAACCAGTCCAACACACACCCACTCATCCTCTCCCTCTGTAAACACATTGGCCCCTATGCTGTTTATCATCATCATCATGCATCATCGGTTAAAATCACTTTCAGCGCGCCGTTCCTCTTGTAACTGGTTTTGCCGATTAGAAACATGTGTTTTTTACGTTTGTATTTTTTCTTCCTTTTTCCTGCGGACAGGAAGGTGTTTTCCAAGCTGAACTTTCACGTCCCCGAGGATATGGTGAAGAGGATTGTACTGAGCACCGCAGGAGTGATAGAGCCTATACTGAAGGCCCTCAAAGAGAAGATAGACAAGAAGCTGGAGCACACGACAGAGAATATACTGGTGTGTATGTTTGTGCATGTGTATCCCTTTTTTTCTGTTAATTAATGGGGTCATCTCTCTCTCTCTCTCGAGGGAATCATAAAGCTGTGCTCTGTATTTGTGAGAAAACACACTGTAGCTATAAAAAATAAACCACATTTTGAACATATTTTTTTCTTTTAAACTAAAGGATTTGGAGTACTACGTCACCAGGGATCAGGAGAAACCTCGGACAGGTACACAAACCCTAACATACCTTTCATTTATCTGCCAACTGATGGACTTTATTCTCTACATCAGTTGAGTAGAGAAATCAGCTAAATGACAGAAATTAAAACTGCTGAATTAACAGGAATGTGATGACTGCGTTTCGACTTAATGCCTTGTGCCGCATGTTAGTGTCATCTGTGGAGTGAATTAGCTGACACAGTCAACCCGTGTAACCCTGACTGAAGCTGCATAGTCCAAAAATCACCTTTTTTTAAACACAGGGAGGGAAGTGGGTGTAATTTTAGACTGTTTTCTAACAGTGGTGCTGTATTCACTGGTCATCTGACAAACACAAAATCAGCATATTAAAGACACACTGAGGTGTCTGTTTGGTGACTGCTACCCGCTTCCTGCCTCCTCTTGCTCGTCCTCGTATTGTCTTAGTCTGTGGCCGGCTAACAGCTCTCAGCTAATCTGTCACAGAGATAGCAGTGACCACACGGAGACACAAACATACCTACATTTACCAGGCATCAGACAGGACTGATTAGAGACTCTGTGACGTCTCTTTCTTCCGTTTCCCTCACCTCATCCGTCCCTGAACCTACCCTGTAAAGCAGGGGCCTCCTCCCTCTGCTCTTTCCTCTTCCATCTACACCCCATCCACTATCAGACACACAGCTCAGGTCCTCATATCAACTCCCAACATCACCAGATGGCCCTTATCGCTGGCCTGAGCTCAGCACTGCTGGACTGAAAGGCCTGCTCATTTTTCTTTGTCTCCACCTTTTAATGCTCCCTCCCCGTTTTCTCCCTCTTTCTGCGTACAGTTATTGCCTTTCTGCTTCCTCTCCTCCTCCCCTTTACCTAATTGTGTCCATAAGATTTATTGGATGAATCCCTGCAGGTTTCTAACAGCAGCAGAGGGTTTTAGTCATCATGTTACATTCACATTATAGTTGGAGGTTTTTTGTCTTCTTGTCTTCAGACGTTCGTCAGACTGAAGCGAAACTCGCGGCTCAGCTGGCAGGAGAAGAGATGAAAAAAGATGAAAAGATCAGACAAAAAAACGGGTATGACCCATGTGCTGCTTTTGATGTAAATAAAACGAACCAATAGTAGTGTTTATTGTAATAATGTGTCTTTTGTTCTTTAACTGTATAGTAAACCGCAGCACACGGTGCAGTTTTACGCAAACATGGACCCTACTTACCGACTAATCCTGCAGGAAAAAGAGCAAGCTGTCATGGCTTTGCAGGAGACTGTGGAGGTACACTCACACACACTCACTTTAATCTGGGAAACACTCGGCTGACTGGTAGAACAAAATATTTTTTTTTGGATGTCCTGTAGAGGAAGAGCTTTCTCATACAGTTTAACCCCCCGTAACATTGTTACAGATGTGTGTGCGTGTTTGAGAGAGAGGGAGAGAGAGATTTTTAGGTGTGTGTGTGATACGTATGCGTCATAAGCTGTGTCAGCAGTGGTCAGTGAGTCAGTATCTGCTAAGAGGATGTAATTTTTTTTTCTTTTTGTGTCTGTGGCCACGTGCATTTTAAGAAAGGGCCTTTTACCACCTTAGGAAGTTTTTATCAAGTACCTCCCATTGTTTGACCACATCCTTTCACAACTTTGTGTGTGTGTGTGTGCAGATCCTACAGATGAAAGTAAGCAGGTTAGAGCATCTGGTTCACTTGAAGGACATGCGCATTGAAGATCTGACGCGGCATCTGGAGACGTACAAAGCAAAAGGCAATACATGCTGATGCAAACACGAACACCAACAATGTGTAACACACATGGACACACGGAGCATTTGTAATATTTAGATACAACCATGTAACATCAACTCCAGTACACTCTTACATTAATAAAAAAAGATTAGTCAAGGCAAAGGATTAACTCATAGAAAGTTCTGAGATTATTGTCCTACCAGCTCAAATGCGTCACACCTGTTGAAATGTACCAGTGGGATTACAGATGTGTGATGTCTTAACACTGTCTTTTTTCTGAGTACAATGTGTTTTGATGAAAAAGTTTCGTAATTCGACATTAGTAACACCTTTAATAACAGATTAATGTAGGTACAAGTAACACATTGTCCACTGTTGTTCGTTTAACTATTTAATTACTTCTTTGTGAGGTGTGTGTAGAATTCATGTATGTACAGTCTTCTCTGACCTACTTTGCCTTCACTCGGCCCATTAATTCTGACTGCCAAGAGCTCAATAAATCAACAAGTCACAAACTTTCCAAAGTGTCTTTTTAAACATGAGAGTGTGAAAAATAAGCAGAGTGGAGATCTGAAGCAATAAAATGAACCAAATTATGCAAACAAAATTACGTACATGCAGTGTGAGGTTCATGCGAAAGTCACTTCCTACCAAGTTTTCACTGACATCATTTGTTTCCTGTGTATATCTAGTTCCCTTTAAGTGTTAAGCACTCATTGAACTACTTGGAAATTAAACATTTTAAAGTCAAAGAAGTTGCCATATACGGTTCCTCGTCCAATAAAGGGTTCAGGTCGGTCAAAGATAAAACACAGCTATTGATGATGGCATTTTCCACTGTTTGATGCGTTGGTTTCAGAAATGGTATATAGTTAAGCCAACAGATGACCAAATATAGTAAAGTGTTGCTGACTTTGATCTTGCTCAGCTGTATCAGGAGTAGCTGATCTGCAGCTGTGAATGAGTTCTGTTGTGTTGATCACCTTCATGCCGCTTAATTGATCACCAATCTCAAGCATGAAGCAATAAAACACTGAGGCACAAATGTAACGTTTTTTAGCGTCGATACTTAAACATCTTTTTATCATTTCAAGTAGACATTTAGACTTTTGCCACACTCTGTACACTCTTTATTACTGTAGATAATTACAGTATTAAAGACATTGCATGTAATGCATGTATTATACAGTATACAGTAAGTGTGGGTTAGACTGATAGACCAGTTTACCAGCAGGTCATTATTGTCCAACAGCAATATTCTATTTCATAATTTATGAATTTCATAATAATCAGAATTCAACAGGTGTTGAATGGATACTACAGCAATGCGGTATTTCTGTCCCATAAAGCTGCAGGACTTGCAAGAGACAATGTTTAAAAAAAACGGTCAAAATCGCAGCAACAGACCTACATACCTGAAACACTGAAATTCTACTTTTCCCATAATGCAACTAAATTGCATATTTCATTGAATCTCCTCTGCCTGTTAAACACGCTCATCCCTCAAACTCCATACTCCCAGTCTATAATGTAGGTTTTATGTCATATATGGAAAGCGAAAAGGCGTGGTCACACCAGACACTGGCACAAGTTTGAAGTTTGGTGACATGGGGGCTGCTAGTTAGTAGGACTAGGTTGTACAATAGCTGCAGCAGTTCATACTCCCATAGAATAGGTTCAATAAAAATGGATGCTGACATACAGCTAATCAGCTATGATAGCGTCCTCCGTTTTGGACTCTCCGGCTTTCTGTTCACTCAAAGGACATCACTGTCAACACGTTCAGCGAAGCAAATTTACAGGCCAAAGTTGAAAGGTTGTAAAGTCAAAAGTTGAGTGGATTTACTGCAAAATTCACCACAAAAGTTAACTGATGACATCCTCAGAGTTAGTTTCCCAGAAGAAAGCTCCCTTAAGAGCCACAGAAAACATGATACAAGTGTTTTCACATGCTTAGTAGTACTTCTGAAGAAAAGGACTGACAGTTTAAAAAGGAGAAGAAAGAAGGATGAAGCATATAACTCAGAATTTTAGATTTAGAATCTAAACTTAACAACTGACTCGAGCGACGACTACAAAATCCATCCTGAGGATCAGAACCGGTGAAGGTCCGAAGGGGGAAGTGCTGAGAAATAGCAACGCTAATACTCTCTGTGTGAGTGTTGCACACACACAGGTTAGGAATGTAAGAGAAAACTGCAGAACATAGAGCCGCTATTGATGATGGCGCTGACTGCCGCTGATGAATCAGTATCATACTGTTGTTTAGGGACTGGATTTACAGCCCCACAGTGAGAGATGAGGGACCACACCCTTGAATCTCTGGGGAGGGACAGATCCAGGGAGGAGTCAAGGCTAGAAGGATCATGCAGGATCTGAGGATCAGGGACAAAAGGAAGGAAAGAGAAACGCTGGCTCATGTAGGAAGGAGAAAACCTGACCTTGACCCCACTTCCTGAGAGGGAGGGGCTTTAAACTCGCTGGCTCTGACACCAAATATGACCACTCATTAAAATGAACACCAGACACCCACACACAAAAAACCCCCTCCTCAGTTAAATCAACAAAATGAGGATGACTGAAGATTGTTTACACTCACAAACATGCTTTATGATCTTATTTCTCACAAATGCTGGAAAAACAGATCTGGGGTCAGACTAAAACTAAACACCATCCCACAGAAAGCAAAGACTGGCAGTTTGGCCGTGAAAGGATACCAGAGATCTTTGTGAGGACTGAGAGGTCATAAGAGGAAGCTATCACTCATGTGGTCATCCAGGCAGTGGTCACACGCACTCACATGCACTCACACGCACACTTTGAATGCTTCCTGGAAAGCCTTTGTGAACAGCTGACTGGCCCTGCTGAGGGGCAGGATTTGAGGTTCAGTCAGTCTTTTGGGGTGACCATTTTACAAACTCAACAAACACATCTCTGTTTTTTTGTAATGTTTACAACACATTATGTGGGTTAGAACAACAGGGACTGTGTGATGGATTGTGTGTGTATATTCACTTAATGTTCAATGAATCATCCTCGTGTTGCCACAACCACCCAGACGTCCAAATTAAGTGACTAGCCGGCACATGCACGTCGTATGATTTCTCACTCAAATATTTGGAGGAATCTAAATAACTGATTCTGCACAGATTTGGAGCTTGTGAAGTGAACGATTTTAAATCTATAACCATTTGTAAACCTGTGAAAAACATCTTAATAAGACATATAAGTTTGTGAATGTATAGAAAACATTTGTAGTAGTAGGTTCTTCTGTTCAAACAGGTAACTTCAGTGTGCATGTGTAGTTAGTTAGTAGTGTTCCAAAGAGTATGGGAACTCTGAGTTTCACACAGTTTATTTCTTTAAAACTGTACTCGGATGTTAAATGTTTTTTGCCAGTCTTTGTGTAACCTTAGTTGACTTCAGAAACTTTCCTGTCACTTTTTTCCACAGCTTCTTCTTCTTCTAACATTATTTCACATGCTCACTATCTGATTGACCCTTATTTGAACCCATAGTCCCGTCTTTGTTTTTCCTTTTTGCTTTGTTAAACTGATCTTATTTTTCTTTTAATCACCACAAACTCTCTTTGGGGCTGGAGCTTGGGCTCGGCTGAACCAGAGCATTCATGGTGTTAGGTCTCCTCCTGTTGGCATTCGAGTGTACTACATAATGTCCACACACAAATCAGCACAGGGAGGCGAGAGGTACCAAAATAGGTTTTATTTTTACATAAGAACATTGTCAAAACTTGAAAACATATTTTGCATATAAACCTTTTAAAACAAAGAGACAATGTTTGAATTTCACAGATTGTACAAAATATTGACCAAAAAAATCATTTCTATGAGTGATTCATACCCCTCTTTTGCATCTTTGTTTGAACCCACCACCAAAGCAAACAGCTCTAACTGTCATTCAGAGGTCCAGTAAACATCACAACATCTTCCAAACACTAATAGTGTCCACTGCTAGTTCTGTCTTTCTCAGTTAGTCTGCGAAGGAGGCCGCACAGTACAGCCTGTACATCCAAGCTCTAAAGAAGTCTCACACAAGTTCAAAAGGAGCTTTTTTTTCAGTTCATAAGAATCACTGAATCTTTAAGTCTGGGATAACCCAATATTATTATTAAGGCTTGAATTCTGAATGGTGGAAGTATTTCCATGTTTCTCAAACAGAGCTGAACAAAATCCAAAGCTTAAACACAATAAAAACTAGCACCAACTTGCATCTTATTGAAGCCCATTAACATTCATCTTTAAAGAAAACAAAGCATGTGTTTGTGCAGTACTGAAATTCATGTCGTGTAGGTTAATGTTGTAATTAGAAGTTGCGCGTTGCCATTAAAATCATTTAAATTATCTTGTTTAGCAAAGATTAAAAAAACATTGCAGTTCTTGAATTACAGAGAAATGTTAACACTGACAGAGGAAAGGAGCTTTTGTTTATATTATTTCTACTTTGACAAACCAACGTCCTCTTAATATTCAATGTCACACACACCTACTGTAAATAGATGGTGCAATAAAACTGTGATTGTGTAATAAAAATGTCACTTAAAATATTTGCAGAAGACACAAATTTAGATTCTAGTGGTGTTTTGGACTTTGATTTGAAACTAAATCACAGCTTTGCTTATCCTCAAATCAAATAGTTATTTTCTTGTTTCACCACTTCACTGTTCATACTTGTGTGTCACCAGATTTTAACATGCAGCATATATGTAATTTCTTTTTTTTTTCCTGGCACAATTGTCAATTTCTGGCTTTTGAAGAGTGTAAGCTGTTCAACATCGAGCAGCCGTTTTACTAAAATAAAAATCAGTTTCCTGAGAATTTACATTCCAACCACATCTATTTAAGCTGTATAACAGAATTGGCAGACAATTGCAGGCACTACTAATCATCTGAATCAAGCCACTACAAATTTCCACATGCACGGCCCTGATAATCAAAACCAGATGGAAGAAAGAAACATGTGCCGACTTCTTGACAAGAAAAAACAAATCATGACTTCCTCCAGTGGCACTATTATTCAACAGTTTTATTGTTTCGTTCACATATTAATTAGTTCTTAGATTATCTTTTTGAAACTGATTTTTCTCAGTTGGCTTTACAGTAAGTGCCACAGTGGGTTTAGTGCAGCGTCTCAAGTCTTTCTGTGGTGGGTGCTCGCTCAACCACAACTACTAACAGCAAACTATCACCAAGCTAGCAGAGGATAAACTACATTACTACCGATCTGACACTACTTTATATTAACTATAGAAACTGTGAACACACGATGACAGCCCTCCAACCTCAAAGACTTGAGTATCTGTAGAACAGTACCTAACTTTGTGCAGGCTCAGGTGAAAATTGAACTAAGTCAGGCCACTCGTTTCTAGAACGTTAACATTTAAAAAAATCTTTCACAGCTCGTTTTCATGTCTGTAGGACAGAGCCCGACCGATATGGGATTTTTGAGGCCAATACCAACTTTAGAGGTGTTGAACTTCACTGATTACCG